TGGGGGAGGGGGAGGGAGGGGAGGGCGAGGGCGATGGAGGGGGTTGGGCGGGGGTGGGGCGGGCTGTGGGAGGGGGGTGGGGCGCGCGCAGCGCGCCGTGCTAAACGCACTTGCAACTTACACATAATTGTACTTTGTAAAAAACAAATAAAACTTATTGTTACTTTTGTACCGCGGCACATGACATTTCTCCTTAGTTTAACCCAATCTACCACTATTTTTAAGTTGGCTACTTTTGCATCAGACACCCTGTATATATTTAACCCGGGTTAACTGTTCTGTAGAGCAGATAATTTTCCATTATTAAGTCCATACGCACACAAAAATATTGTGCTTTACAGAAATACGCAAACCCGATACAAACTTATTTTCTTCATAACTTTTTAACAAACAATGAGCGACGGGAATGGGCAATGACCTTGACCTCCTTGGGGGTCAAGGTCAACATCAAGGTCAAAGGGAAGTTGATTGGCGGGTGCTATGTAAAGGGAAATATTTACCCATACTGTCTCCACGCATACATTTTTCTACCTACATATAAGTCACTCCCCTCCACCAAATGTAGATGGAAAAATGTATGCGTGAAGACAGTGTGTTCCGCCCCCCCTTCGGGGGGGCTCCACTTCGTTAAAAATAACCCTATCCACCCTATGTCAGAGGTGTGGAGTGGATCTCGCTTCACGTGGAAAGTCGAAAACCCATGTTGTGTCGCTACATTTCGTCGATATGACAGATTTCCTAACTCTAAAAGTTGTCAACTTTAACAATTAATATCTCGCTTCGCAGGGCAGAGCAACGATTTTGTCTGAGGAAAAAGTTGTTTCTCGTTGAAAAACGCGTCGAATGAGACCAATTTGATTGACTTTGGAGGTGGAGCAGCTATACTGAAGAATTACCATACAGGGTGAGTTTTAGTACGTGAACCAGTCTTTTACCCTCTAAGACGAGTTACCGACAGCACTTGTAAGTGACTTACCGGCGAATAGATGGCTGTAGCGTAGATCGGCCGCGCGAACCGAAGTTCCATTCGAAATATGTATACACACAGCCAAGTTAAAAACTACATATAAATAGAATTATAATACATATCACACATACATATGTAGAATGATTAAAGTAAAATTAGTGATAGTAAAATCAACATGTACCTGTTTTAGCGTCTTCATCTAGACTTTTTTGACAAATAAGGTTCATACAGAGATATGTTGGAGTCACATTGTAGACACATCACGTATGGTCACACGTTGATATACTTTTTTATATATCCACGTATGCTCTTGCGCAATGTGACTCCAACATATCTCTGTATGAGCCTTATATGTCGAAAAAGTCTGGATGAAGACGCTAAATCAGGTACATGTTGATTTTACTTTGATTTTACTACCACTAATTTTACTTAGATCATTCTACATATGTATGTATAATATGTATTATAATTCTATTTATAGTTTTTAACTTGGCTGTATGTATACATATTTCGAATGGGACTTCGGTTCGCGCGGCCTGTAGGAATTGAGTGTATCGCGGAGGTCTGATAAGACTCTCCGCGTGTTGGCCTACTACCGACAAGTTAATGCGTGGATAGGACACGTCTACAGACACTATAGCTTGGTGTTAGACAACGGAATGTTTATTGATAACGGATCAGATCCTACTGAGATCCTACGATCCTACAAGTCTTTTTTTCACTACTTTACAGCTCTGCCAACCTCTCGCTTCCACAACTCGCGAGGGGGGGGGGGGCAATCGCTAGAGAAAAGGGAAACAGAGGTGCTGCTCCCTACACACTCCCCCCGAGTGTTAACGAAATATTTTTGGTAATGCGCTTGGCGGATATATATGCTTAACTTATAATATAGTGTACATTGCACGTAGCTTATATCTAGTGTGGTTTTATAAAATAATATCACTTGTTTGGTCTTAAAATTAGATCACTTTGGTTTGGTTGACGGCGCGAATGTGACCGTCTTACGCGAATAGGTTTTGATTACAGAAAGATTCGCATTTACATTTTCGAGCGGCGTAGACGGGTCGTCGGGGACGAAGTATGCCGGTTTTAACAGGTCGACGGACACGCTTTTTGTGTTTCCGTTGACGTCGATGTTGAATACACGTTCTGAGATGCGCTGTATTACTTTGTGCGGGCCGGTGTATGGGCGCTCTAAGGCCTTTTTAGCCATGTTGCGTAAAAATACGTGGGTACAATTGTATAGGTCTTTAAAATAAAAGGCACGTTTTTTATGTTTATGGGCGACGGGAACCGGACGGACTTGGCGCATATATTCGCGGAACTCTTCGATAAAATAGTTGGGGTTTGGTGAGTAATCGTCGGGGAGAAAAAATTCGCCGGGTAGTCGCAGGGTTGTCCCGAACATGAATTCGGCGGGTGATGCCTTGGTGTCGGCGCGGACATGCGACCGGAGTCCTAATAGAACGGTGGACAAGGTGCGCGTCCAGCACGCATCGGCATGGCACATGATTGCGGCTTTAAGTACCCGGTGCCAACGTTCAATCATACCGTTTGACGCCGGGTGGTAGGCAGTAGTACGAATTCGCTCGCAACCGATTAATGAGAGTAACGCCTCGAATAGGCGGGATTCGAACTGGGCTCCCTGATCCGTAGTTAATAATCGGGGGGTTCCGTATCGTGAAATCCATACGTCGTAAAAAGCTCTTGCGACGGTTTGCGCGGAGATGTCTTTAAGGGGCATTGCCTCGGCCCAGCGCGAAAATCTGTCGATCATGGTGAGGCAATAAGTGTGACCCTCGGACGGGGGTAATGGGCCGATAATATCGATGTGTACTTGATCGAAACGCCCATCCGGGGCGACGAAGTGCTCCGGAACGAGTTTCCCGTGACGAGAGATTTTCGCTTGCTGACAATCAGTACAGTTTTTGCACCATTTGGCGATGTCGCGGTGCATATCGGGCCAAACGTAGCGCTGTCGGATAGTACGATCCGTAATTTTCCCGCTGGGGTGAGCTGGGTTGTGAAACATTTGAAATACTCTAGTGCGCAAACTATCGGGAATGTATGGCCGAATAGCCTCGCCTGAAATTTCGCAATATACAGTTGAGTGATCTGGACCCCACTGGATTTTTTTAGTTTTAGCGGGTGATCGGGGGTGCCAAGAATTAGTTTGAGTTGTTCATCGCTTTTTTGTAGTTCGGAGAGTTCGATGAGACTAAATTCTACTGGTAAGCGTAGCGACTCAATCCGCGAAAGTGAATCCGCGACGACGTTTTGTAGACCAGCGATATGTTCGATTTGCGTTGTGAACTGCGCGATGTATGATAGTTGGCGTAGTTGTCGCGGGGACGCTTTGTCAGATTTTTGTAAGAACGCGTACATGAGTGGTTTATGATCCGTTATGATTCTGAATTCGCGTCCTTCTACCCAATAGCGGAAGTATTTAACGGATTCAAAAATTGCTGTGAGCTCGCGGTCGTAGGCGCTATACCGCGTTTGTGCGGGTGAGAGTTTACGTGAAAAAAATGATAAGGGCTCCCAAGTGTCCCGCTTCTTTTGCTCAAGCACTGCTCCCATGGCGAAATCGGAGGCGTCCGTGACGATGCGGAGTTCCGCGCCGATATGGGGGTGTACCAGCATTGCAGTGTTAGCGAGGCCGTTTTTGGTCTTTTCGAACGCTTTGATTAATTCGTCGGACCATGCGATCGCGCGTCTGTCGTTTTTACGCGAGTCGATTAATAATGAATTTAATGGTGCTTGTGTTTCTGCCGCACGGGGGACGTTTCGACGGTAAAAATTGATCATGCCGAGGAAGCGGCGTAAGTCGGAGACGGTTTTAGGCCTAGGAAACTTGGTAATCGCCTCGACTTTCTCTGGGGTGTGGCGGATTCCTTTATCGTTTATTATGTATCCCAGGAACTTTAATTCCTGTACGCCGAACACGCACTTCTCGACGTTTAGACGTAAGTGAAATTCTTTAAGCCTGCGGAATACCGTGCGTAGATGTTCCGTGTGCTCCTCTGGCGAGGAAGAAGCGATCAGGATGTCATCCATATAAATGAAAGCGAAATCTAAATCGCCTAAAGCGCGGTTTATATAGCGTTGGAAGGATTGACCGGCGTTGCGAAGGCCGAAGGTCATAAATAAATATTCAAATAACCCGAAGGGGGTTATGATGGCTGTTTTCTCAATGTCCTCAGGGGCCATTGGAATTTGGTTATAAGCTTTGTGTAGGTCGAGAGATGAAAAGGTTGTTTTACCGTGAAGGTTGACGGAACAATCATGCAGGTGAGGCGTGGGGTACCTATCCGGTCGCGTAACTGCATTTACACGGCGGTAATCGCCGCACACCCGCCAAGTACCGTCTTTTTTACGGACTAAATGGATGGGACTGGCCCATGGACTGCTAGAGGGGCGGCAAATGCCTGCTTCAACCAAGGCCTTGATTTCGGCCTTCGCAGCCTTGAGTTTATCGGGAGGAAGGCGCCTGGCGCGCTCAGCGACTGGGGGGCCGGTAGTAATGATATGATGATATACATCGCACTTGGACGGAGGCACGAGAGGTAGGGCTCCCGTTATTTGGGGGAAGTCTGCGAGTATTTTGGAAGACTCCCAGGACGGATTTATCGTATTAATCGAATGTACGGGGGCCGGTTTTTTAAACGCGGGGGTATGTAACTTAGTAGTAGAATCTATGAGGCGTCGTCGTTTTAAGTCTACTGTTAACCCGTAGTGCGATAATAGATCGGCACCGATGATGGGGTACGGAACTGCCGCGATACAAAAATTCCAGCGAATTGGTCGTCTTAAACCGAGGTCGAGATCACGTAGTGATTCCCCAAACGTGTCGATACGCGTATCGTTTGCTGCAAAGAGCTTTAACTCGGAGGGTTTTCCCTTGACTTTATTATCCGCGGGTACCAGGGAGATGTCCGCGCCTGTATCAACAAGGAAAAGTTGACCGCTAGTGCGGTCATGGACATGGAGACGGTTGAAAATTCGATGGCCCTCGCCGACCGTCTCCGAACGGAGAGGAGCGCTTAGTTTTTTTGTTCTTTCCAGGTCTCGTATTTTGAGCACCATTTTCGGCATGAAGTCGGGTTATTAGGGTAGTTGACATGTGCCGGACAGAGTGCGAGTGTAATCGCGTTGCTTGGCGAGGTTGAGGTTCTGCGTCTGCGGAAACCGGATCGCGAACGTGAATTTCGCGACTTTTCAAGCTTTTCCAATCTTTTATTTAACGCGGCCATATTGGCGATAAGTTGCTGCATCTCGGTACTCGCGGAGGGGGATGAGTTTTCCTTAGATACGGCGGACGCGTAAGATTCGCTTCCGAGAGCGCTTTCAGCCATTCGGTCGGCGGCCTCGGCTATTCTATTGAGATCGGTAACTCCCGTAGCCATTAGGATCGCACGGTGTTCACGTGGTAGTTGGTCCAGGAAAATTGATTTTATTACGTTATCGTCAATATTTCCGTCATTAAGACCGCGTAGTCGGCTAAGGATTAGCGAAGGTTTTCCGTCGGTTCCGACTTGTCCCCTTAGTAGTTTGCGTAACTTTGTTTCGTCCGAAGGTGCGTATGTCGCGATGATTCGAGCTTTAACTTGCTCGTAGATATCCGCTGGAGAAGGGTTTAAGGTAATTATATCTCTTACGCAGCCCAATACCTCGACATCGAGTGCAGCGAGGACAGTATCGGCTTTGGTTGACTCGGTAGTAATTCGGGAATTTCTCATGGAGACCTCGGCCTGGATAAACCACAATGCTGGGTCGATTTGTGAAAACGGAGGAAGCTTGGGAACTCTGTAATTGTCTATACGCGGAATTTGGACGATCTTATCGGTCGCGTCCGCGGTGCCTGTAGCGAGGTCTTGCGCGTGTAGCTGGGCTCGTAATTGCGCGAGCTGGGCTTCCGCCGCCTCTGCGCGGGCTTGGGCAGCTGTAAGGGCTGCGTCCGCCATTGCTTAATTACTTAATCTACTACTTAAACTACTTAGCCTACTCGGAAAGTCTTTATTATTGCCGTTTCGTAGGCAGTGACTTGTATCCAAAGCTCCGGTGGCGGTGGGACCCAAGGCGCCGGAGACGTTGGCTTCGCGCAATTATTGTCGCAATAACGACGGGACCTCAGGCGCCGGTGTCGTTGGCTTTATGCACCTCGGCACGTCTGATGGCGATGCTGCCGGCGTTCTATGGCGTCCGTGTCTGGCGGAGGTGGAGAAAATGGCTGGTCGCACACGAAGAGATGGTCGTGGTCAGGAGGCGGCTATGCGGCTGTGGCCGCTTCGTGGGTGGGATCTCCAATGAACAGCGCGGCAAAAATGGCCGCCCGACTATCGTCTTGGCGTGGCACTGTCGGCTGCTCGTACGTGGTCAGGTAACGGTCCGGGACGCAGACACGGGGTGCACTGCTACTGCGGGTGAATTAGCCGGCGACCGTTCCTCGGGGAAAGATGGTCCGCACGAGGATTTGCTTCTGACCTGCACTTCCGGTTACGTCTTGTGCAGACGCGTGTCGGGGTCACCAATGTAGGAATTGAGTGTATCGCGGAGGTCTGATAAGACTCTCCGCGTGTCGGCCTACTACCGACAAGTTAATGCGTGGATAGGACACATCTACAGACACTATAGCTTGGTGTTAGACAACGGAAGGTTTATTGATAACGGATCAGATCCTACTGAGATCCTACGATCCTACAAGTCTTTTTTTCACTACTTTACAGCTCTGCCAACCTCTCGCTTCCACAACTCGCGAGGGGGGGGGGGGGCAATCGCTAGAGAAAAGGGAGACAGAGGTGCTGCTCCCTACAGGCCGATCTACGCTACAGCCATCTATACGCCGGTAAGTCACTTACAAGTGCTGTCGGTAACTCGTCTTAGAGGGTAAAAGACTGGTTCACGTACTAAAACCCTAAAACTCATCCTGTATATTTATTATTTGTATTCTTTCTCAGCCTGTATCTCCGAAACTATTTGAGTCCGGCCCTTATATATATACATATATGAAATGACTCGGGAAGACATCCCCAACAACATATTTAAAAATAAAGCAAATCGGAGAGGAAGTCGCTTTTATGCATAATTACCGAATTTTACAATGCGAACGTGCAGAAACTCTTGAAGAAACATAACATTAACCATTATTCTACCTATTCCGTGATGAAGGCATCGGTCGTCGAACGATTCAATCGCACGCTAAAGGACGATATGTAGAAGATGTTTACATTAAATGGAAACGGTAAATATGCAAAAAAGGTCATACCTCACCGATTTCCTCGCCACTTAGATATGTTGAAGGGGAGAGTTTTCTGAGTAATTCCCCGCAAGAATCAAGTGGGGGACGGCATTGGTTTAGGAGATATAACAAATTGAAAACTAAAAATTTTAATACTTTTTCTTAGTAATTTTTATTAAAATGCCTGTGCAGTTACCTTTAAAATCATAAACGAACCATTTTCATTTACAAGGTCACACCTGCCCCCTCCCGCAACGGTCGGTACGGATTAAACACACACACACACGCG